TGGTAAGTCACATCATCGCGGATTTGCATACTAGTCGCCGGTGGGGCCGTACCAGCGAATTGCCAATGTTATATCAACGTCTATCATCGATTATAATTCTATCAAGAGCAAAATTTTAGTAGCGCATAACTGTTTAGTTTCTGTGCTCTTGACTTTGTTAATCAACATCTAATTGATCTATAACGCGTTGACATGTTTGGGAATAAATCACGACTTTTAAACATTTTGGTGATGCAAAAACGGGCCGAACTGAGCTAAAATCAAAAGGCAGGGGAGTAGACGGAAAGAATGCAAAGGATATGGCAGTCATCGTGCAGTAATGGCAAGTATTTTAATAGGCATGGTTGTTTCGCAATACTGCATGTTAAAATATAATTACAGAATCATTTTGTTATGAATGCATTATCGCAACGATGGTTCCCGCACGACATTAAACATATAGAGGTAAGTCCCAGGGGTAGAGTTGTTTTTCCTAGCATGCAGATTATTCATCAATCTATGCTGATTGATCCCTACAGCGTCTACCCTTGTAGTATATGTATATAATATATATATATGTATATATATATATATATATATGTATATATATATATACTATTATATACCTATATAGTGTGTTTCTAGTGGGTGTTATATAGTGCCTCTTTAATCCGATATGTCATGTCTGACGCCCTGTAACGCTACCTATCTATTGGCACGCTAATCGGCGTGTTCAAGACTGTGAGATGATGTGTGTGCACTGTGGTAATGCAGATAGGTGTGGGCGCGCGCCCACGTGTGTGTGCGTTCGTGTATGTATGGTGGTAAGGTAGTGCTGGTACTAATCGGTGAGGCGGTGGATAATAGATGGCGTGGGTGTATGGTGGGTACTAGGGTCCCTGTATACAGGTACCCTAGTGGGTACTTTTTCGCTCACTTCTGCAATCGTCCGATCTGCCTGACTCCCCCTCGTTCTCTCGCTCGCTCTATCGATCTCTTTCTCTCTGTGAGCTCTGTCTGTACGTCTGCCCCCCTCCCACACTGTTTACATTTTTCTTTCTTTCGTTCTTTTTTATGTTCTTTCTTTCGTTCTTTCTTTCGTTCTTTCCTTCTTTCCTTCATTCTTTCTTCATCCTCTCTTTCCTCTATTTCGTTCTTTCTCTCTTTCTCTCCCTACCCCATTCTCTTGTCTGCATCGCAGGCCGAATATATAAATCCGGAATAATACGTGATCGATCCTGACACCATAACAATGTAACTGAATGTTTCCACAGGTAAACACATATCTCTCCCACAATCTTACAGATACACAGGAAAATGTACACGTACTAATCTATATACACACACATGATATAGTATGATACAATAACATTGTATGTAGTATATACATACCATATCAGCTTATTACAAATCTACCACGACAATGAATAATAAAAATAATTCGACTTATAACACAGCAGTGCCGCGAAAATACCAATTAGCTAGACATTAAATTATTACAAATGCGACCATATACGATGTCTCATACATCGTAACATATCGACGGTCTTTCTAATAATTTAACCAGACATTTCAACACACCCGGCCCTTTAATTCTGACATTACACTTTAAATTTCCTATCAACATTTAACCACCTAGTAACTACTACCCTCAAGATACACTGTTCAACCGCCACAACAACTATAGGCTTCTCGAGTGGTACACGAAAGTAGCAGATTCTTGCTAGAAGTCTTAGCAACGTCATTTGGATTGGCCTCACCAATCCGCAACCATCCGATGATACAGTCGAACTAGCGTTAACGTAGAACATATAAGGGAAAAGAAAGGAAAACCCAACGTAATCCAGGCAGCAGCTGAAAAAAAGATTTGCGGAGACCAAACCGAAGGAAACAAGAAGACATTTGAAGGATGTGGGTGAAATGGCGAAACACCGAGCTAAAAGAAAAGTGTTCATATGTAAGTACTCGTATTAAAAGTTAACGCATTGTACAAATAAAAGATTGAAATAGACTAGTCTTTATTTTATATCAGGCATGCACAAACACAAACCCCATTTCCTATTATATTAGTATCGTAATTATGCGAAAGCAAAATGCCACATAATTAATAAAGTTGGATAATGGGAGAGACGAGTGTCCGCGACTTTTCTTGTCAAATTACTATAGTGAGTATTCACTCTTTACCTAGTAGTTTTCAATAAATAATTTATTTTGTCAGGTACCGGGCATGTGCGAACACAGATTGATCCATTGCTACAGTATATTAAAATTTGAGAAAACAGGTCGTCTTGTAAATAATTAAGATATGTAATAAATAAGGTAATAATAATTTTTTATGACAAGCTTTATGTGAAAATGTGAAATTTAAACAAATTAATATTATTTTCGGCACGTGTATCAGGCATGTGTAAATTAACACAGATAACACAGGCTACAGTAGACCTATAGGGAAAATAGGGAGTGTTAGTGCCTTGAAGTAAAACACATGCAAGGTCTTCCTCCTATTTATTAAATGATGTCTACTGATGGAATGTTATTATATAAATCTATGCTAGGATAACTCCTTTTCATTTTAAATGCATAATTTTTGCAAAATACGATTTCTCTCGGGAGATATTGCGCTTGCGCGCGCACCGTGTTAGGCGTACAGTGCTGTCTGAAGCAAACATTATAATATAGCTTTCTGAGGGAGAGAGGGGATGGGAGACAGGAAAGGCGGCAGGGAAAATAGTAGGGGGCGGTATAAGAAGAAGGAGGCTGAGCGAGGGATAAGGGAAGCAAGGGGAAGGACGCGAGGGCATAAAGTATGTGTTTTGTACCCTACATGCTAGGGCGCTCTCCTAATTATAAACACAGGCCTACTGATAAAGTTTTATTAGAGTAATCTATGCTGAGATACCCCCTAACCATTTTAAATGCATATTCATTACAAAATATAACTCCTCTGGTGAGATATTGCGCATGCGCTAACACACGAACGTAGCCAGATTGTGTACTGGCTGGTATAGCGGCAGGCGGGGACGCTTACATGCGAAGGTCTCTCGCCTATTTCTAAATGATGTCTACAGAATTAAAATGTTACTTATAGTAAATCGTAGGCTCAGGATCAATCCTCTTCATTTAAATGGCATAACCGTCTTTGAAACGATACGATTGCTGCTCGGGAGATATGTGCAGCATGCGGCGCGCAGAACGTTAAGACAATGAAATTGATATATTATAGAAAATTTTAGTGAGTATTGATTTCTATAATTTATATATAATTTAATATTATATAATAAAAATATCATTTTAAGAAAATTATGCATTTATATAAATGTATAATTTTCTTAAAATGGTATTTTTTTTGGCATATATTAGGCATGTTAACGTGCCTATACTTGCGAATATGAATTATCTACGTTCAATGTATAATTTCCACGAAACAATGTATAATTTGGCAAATACTAAGTATATATATGCGCAAACGCAGATCGAACCAATGACATTCTGTAGAAAAATGTGGGAAGACGCACCTCACAATTAGTATAGTCACTGTGACATCTTAATTGACATCCTTATGTGTATGTGCTCGCTACTTCAAAATAACAATTTCAACAAAATAAGTTTTCCTTTGGTAAAGGGGTTGGCCATATGTTAATTTTATGACTTATGTTATAGGGAAATTTGGAAACACCGCCAAAGCGTTTTGTGATCTTTTGAGACAGATATTATTCATGCTAAACAACTGATAAGCGTGTTTTCTACTTAAAATTCATTCTTTTTACAAAATAACATGTATGTTAGTGTGGTACGTGCTGCACGTGTCCGAATTAAATATAAAAGATTATTATAAAAATTAATATTAAAGTCTAGATGCTATAGTAGGCTTATAGAGATATTATTATAATATGTTATTAAGCTTATATAAGATTAAAGCTGATATAACAGAAGTAGATAATAGGGAATTCCCTATTATCTACTTTTGATAATAATAAACGCTATTTGTCACCGGTACCGCTCAGTGAGTCACTGCAGTAGCGCATAAGTGAGCAAGGCAGCGCCATCTACAGGCTACATGGTTTAGATTTTGATGATCATGAATCTATTGATCAGGGGATACGATCGAACACCAATATACACTCGCGCTTTCGATGTTGGTTCCAACTCCAAGTTCTATTTAGTCGAGTTACTAGGTTACTCAATGTTTATTATTAGTTAAATTCAATGCATTATGCGTTTAATAACCCAGGATTCTGTTAAATATAATTCTGCTGCTATTGTTAGTTTCAAAGTACTGTAGGCAGTAATCACTGAATCGGTGTACAGTGTCAGTAATGCGGCGCGAATCCACTTTAGGCACCTTAGCCTTACTCTTAGCCTATCACGAAGTGATGCATAGATTTCTGTGTATCATCAACTGATGCACAGACTTCCGTATATCAAGGAATGATGCAAAAACCCTAACCCTAACCCTAAGTCATAAAGTATAACCTTAGCCTTAGGTATCACCATACTGTCCATAGATATATACAACACATTTGTGTTGTATGTGTTGTAATACTTGTATATATCTATGTAGTCCGACGCAGACCCCAGTAATGGGATGCGCGATGAACCCGCATGTGAGCTAAACCCGCACCCTCAGATTAGCAAAGCGGAGTTATAACTTCTGCATTTGCTGACTAATATCTATGGTATCATGAAGTGTGTTACTGTTAGGGTTAGGGTTAGGGTTTTTGCATCATTCTTTGATATACGGAAAGTCTGTGCATCAGTTGATGATACACAGAAATCTGTGCATCAATTGATGATACAGAGAAATCTGTGCATCACTTCGTGATACCTAGGCTAAGGTGCCTAAAGTGGATTTGCACCCAGTAATGTCAGTACCGTATATTTTGCAACAACATTTTCGAAAGTGTTGAAATAAGTCTAGTAGGGCCTAGTAGTAGTACTGGCCGTAGTGAGGACTAGTTGGCTCGTGGGTCAAAATGACCCGCCTGGAGTTGGTGCAGCCCGTCCCGGGCTAACTCATTGAGATGTTTCACACACGCTTCGACGGCGAAAAGTCGGCCTAAGCATACATTGTCGCCCCAGATCCTATGGATATGTCATGTCAGTGTCATATTATTATTATTAAATCTTTGATGCATATAATTCAAGTACAAACACATGTACTGAAAACAGTCTTACACGGAGAAAAGATGTATTTGTATATGAATATAAGCGTGGTTAATTAGGTATTCTATTGGAGGCACTTTTAGTCGTTCTCTCATTCTAGTAGCTGCGGATGCCTGTCCATATGATGTAGCATTTTTTGGGAATAACCATTTAAAGTTTTATTATACGTAGATTATAATCATATAATAAATCATAACAGTCTGCGTGTAGTCTTATCTGAGTTGGCCGACCTCCAGGCGGGTAAACTGGACACATGGGGTCGGGTTTGCCAGCGAGGCGAGTTCACTACGGATCCTAGTAGTATTAGTAGTACTAGGAACGGCTGCCAACCCAAGTTACCTTCTCGCTTGTCACTACGTGGCGAGAAGGTCAGAAATGTAGTGACCAAAACTTGGTAGTACTAGTACTAGTAGACTCTGCTTCATCTACTGGTATATTTACCTGGGAACTATTATAATTACCTGGGAACGTCAGAACACAGAAATATTTTCAAGTTCTTGAGTTGGCAATCATACATTCTGTAATTAGCACTACTACGACTTACACTTTTACAGTTACAACATGCTACTAATCATTACTAAGTTATAGGTAGACACTCAATATAGCAGTGGGTAGCAATCTACACAGTAACACTAACAGTGATTCATAATGCTGCGCTGTCTTGGTGTCTATACGCATTGACTTTGAATTGCAGACCCTGCAGATGTACATACTATGAAGTGAACGACTGAAAGAGCGAAAGGCTAATTAATGAGGAGCAGTCACAGCATTTGATAAACTTGTGTCTCATGGTAGCAGCACTAGCAGGATATCTTGTTAGGGGGCGCATTTACAGTCAGGTGGTGGAATTCTGGCTGTAGAATGAAAGGAATCGGAAGGGTGAGTCATTAAAATACATGTTATTATGCAGGAGTCGAAATTAACTAATATGACCAACGAGCCAGCAGGGCTATCAAAATAAAAATGTACTACACCTTGTAGTAATACTTACTAACCCTTAATCTCTCCAGGGTTTTCCGCAGGAAATATATCAGGTTTTTAGTTAATACCAGGGACTCCAGCTCTTAAATTACACAAATGGTTTTACTAGGCGTGTATTTTATACTGTATAATATTTTGTCTTTGTATACTTTAGTATATTTATTATTACATTTTCATTATGTGTGCGTGTGTGTAAAAGTGATGTATCATGTATGATAACAGGGCCTACATGGAAACCAGCCAAAATTATTACTAGCTTATTATTATTAAACTTATTATCCTGGTTGGTTAGTTTTGACAATATAACAGTGCTGGTGCAAATTCATTAAGCTTGGGCGACTGTTAATTTCGACCCCTACGAAGAATTAATAATACACGCCAGAAAATAAGCTAACAAATGTCAACATAATTTTCACTGGAAATTTAATTGAGTTAGAATAAAATGCTATATTAGTTATTTTTATTTGCAGTAATAAGTGACTAACGACTAAGTAATATTTCAGAGATAAAATATTTTGTGAAATTGTTTCCGTCAATTCTGTTTCCTTGCTTTACGATCATTCTCTATTGCCTGTCTAGTAAACATGATCTTTTATCATCGCAGGGACGTGGATGGATTCTAAAAGCTGGGGAGAATCATGTTGGCAGTGCAGTACCCACTCTGCTTGACCTGGTAGTACGTGTCACACACGTGATCGATCCCAGGAACTTCACAGCACAGATAGGATCGCGTAAGCCTTATTAATTGCATTGTATAGTCTTTGAAGCAGCCATATAGAGGCTTGTACTGATAAGGAAGTAATAAGTAAAAAGTAATTCCTATCCATTTATGACAACTTACAAACCATGTTTTCTAGAATAGAGAATAATTTCCGGAGAGAATAAACTTCGCAGTGAGAAATAATTAAATAATTACACAAATTAAATATCTTATTAATCACACACGCACACACCAGGAGTGAATAAAAACAAGAGTATCCAAGGCAAAATTATTGGAAATCCAATGTTTGCTAGCCCTATTCTATTTAGGATTTCTTATGTTTAATTCAATAAACAGTCGGACCCCTAGCATCAATGTAATTCGTTTTCCCATACACTTCACAATCAGCAGAAAGATGCCCAACACAGTTTTGATAATGTTCACCATAAAATATGAGGCAATAAATTGGCTCTCATTTTATAGTTAGAATTAAAAAAAAACCTGTTTTACATTTCTTTGTATATCTGTGGATTGGGAATGTGTATTGATAAACTAACTATGTGCAGTGCTAGGAGAATGTTTGAGGTAGATTCTGCTCAGGTTTGTTGAATTAAACCTAATAAATCATTGATAATTAGGGCTAGCAAGTGTTGGCTTTCCAATATTGTAGCCTGTGCCTTTGTTTTTATTTAATCCATATTCGTATATAAATATATATATATTATATATATATATATATATATATATATATATATATATATATATATATATACCCAAGTGTATATATCAAGTCTATCTTGTTGATTGCGTAGACACCTTGCTCCCTGCCTAACATAATTCTTTTTCCCCTGCAGGCGCCTCCCTCGAATATTTCACCCAGTTCGAGGATCGTCTTCAAGACTGGTGTGATGAGAATCAGACGGCGGGGACATACGAGTGGGCCTACGAGGGCTGTCTCATCTGCATCAGTAGTCATCGCACTGACCGCTGGCACCGCGCCAGTGTCCTGGCATTGGATGGGTAAGGGAGTACAACGATGGCTAAGCATTGTGAAGTACCCACACAGAAACTGCCACAGTGTTAATGAGTAACACTACTCCCTGTTTTCAGTTATTTTTGGTTGAGCTTTGACTTATTTATGCTGCATAGCAAGTTTCACTGTTGAATTATCAATGAAAGAAATGTAAAAAGTTACTTTAGGAAATGCCTCTTGTGGTGATGACACAAATTGTGCTTTTTAATTTAATTTTTGGTATGCTTTACACCAGCAGTGAGCAATCTTGTTGACAGGCATCACGAGTTGTGAATTGGCTATAAAAATGTGGTGAATTTGAGTTTGTCATATTTTTGCATAGAAAGGGGATTACGAGATCTCGTATCTCTTCTCATTTTGTCATCATTTGAATCCAAGGCAGTTGTAACTGCATAGTAAAAATATACATGTTGAATCATATAATAACTTCATTAAACAGCATATTCAATTTCTAACTTGGAAATCTAATTTCAGTTTTTGTCTGGTGTAGCCAGTTTCAAATTTCATTTGCTACACCTGTGGTCACATTGAAAAACAAGATTGCCTATCCCTGCTTTGGACCAAGAGCTTCCCACGACTTGATAGAATATTTGGCTTATGTCCTCATAGAGTGCAATACTATAAGCCTGTTCGGCAATCTATGTCTGGGTTTGTATGATACAGTTCATTCGTGACTGATTGCAGAGATGAGGTTGACACCTACTTGCTGGACTATGGCTTCTCTGAAAAAGTTCCACTGGACCACGTGATCTCGAGTCGGCTGATGCCTCATGAGTTCTCAGTCGAGGCGCTGCCAGCACAAGCATTCATGTGCAGCCTCGCGAACGTTACACCGCTCACGGATTCGGTACGTACTCGCACGCGCGCACGTCAATCTAGAAACAACGTTGTTGTAGTAACGATTGCTGACTCGGATTCTTGTTAGTGTTTAGAAGAATATCGTCGATGTCCAAATGTATATAGTGATGGTGATCGTGATGGACCCACGAGGCATTGCTGTTTCCATGTAGATCTTAGAGGTAATCATGAAAGGGTAATATAATTTCATCCCCTTCATTATTACATGGCATTACAGCTGTGCAAACAATTAGTAATATGGTTATAATTAATAGGGTCAATTAATAGTAATTTAATAGTGAATTTAATTTATAGTTAATGAATAGTAGTTAATAGGGTGATGTGTATGAGATCTTAGTTGATATTCCTGGTAGCTAATGTGTGACAGTGGTGAGTTTCATGCATTCACACATTAGACTAGCACCTTCCAGTTTTGTAAAACTAAAATGTGATTATCGACACGTGTTCCACACTAGGAGGAATATAGCGCCGAGGCCATTGGAAGATTCAGGGAGCTAGTGGAAGGCGTGGTCTTGTGGGGCAAGATGGAGTCACAGTGTCACGGAGTGAAGAGCATGGGCTTGTCTCAAACGTAGGCATCAAGCGTGCATCATGCACTGACCAGTTCCTGTTAAAATTCAATTGATTTCAGTGTTTCCCCTGGCCAAAAAAGTCTGTGAGGTGGTAAATGTTTTTTGTGATGTGTTTGCGCATTTCGAGGTCCTAGCAAAACGAGCAGTGCAGGTGCTGGCCAAGCTAGGGGGTCCGGGGGCATGCTCCTCCGGGGATTTTTTTTGAAAAAATGGTGCAATTTGGTGCATTCTAAGCTATTCTGAACACATTGTATGAGACTCTTGAATCTCTTTTTCAAGTTGTCAAAAGTTTCGTCAGTGAGGTGGTGTTTTGGACAAATTTCTGTGTGGCGGCTGAGAATTTGAGCAAGGCAGCCCGCCTCGCTCGTGGCAATGCAGGGGAAACACTGGATTTAATTGTAAAAGGTTGAAATTCATGATTGCCATTATACAGATTTCATCTAACCGTGTGTAGGATAATGTACTAGTATGTTCAGATTCTATGTTTTAGTACACAGTTGTATAAATGACTAGTCTCTGCTGCAGTTTTTCGTAAGTACGTTTTCTTTTATTATTCCGCAGGCAAAATGGCCTGAATCAAATAGCTGCCGTTCTTGCTAATGCCGGTTTAGTTTCCATGGGACTAGACAATGCGCATCATTCATCTATGGTGAGATTGTGGTGGGTTGCACCCATATCAGTGCATGCATAATCTGTTGGTTCCTTCTATATGTGAAAACGCGTAAAATATTGTACTGTGTTTGTTTTCTGCGATTGTTTTGACTCTACACAAGCTATGCAAGGGTAAGAAATGTGACGTGCACTTTTAATATAAGTCTACTTGTGTATATGGTTCCTATATAGTTTTCGTCATTACTCTCACAGCAAGAATACAGGTTAATTGACAGTGGCCAAAATAGCGCTGGAATGGACAGAATTGATGAGGATGAAAACCAACAAGGTATGCATTATGAAACATTGGGAGCTTTACTTTAAGTTCCTTTGATGGGATTTCGAATAGTGATCAGGTCAAAATGAAAAATCTTTATCTGAAATTGAGTTTATACTACCAGCATTTATCTGTGTTCAATGTTGTTAGTTTTCTTGAGACCTTATTTGAAACTTGTTCCACACAGATCGATTCAACGAGGTAACAGTACCCAGCTTCAACAAGGAATTGCTTCATGATGATAATATTGACAGGGAAACCATCTCCAGTGAGGGTAGGTGCAATTGCAGTTAGTGAGTGTAAAGCAGATTAGCGTGTGCTTGATGCAGAGCCACTGTACTGCACTTAGAGTGGGCAGCATTGGAAATAGTGTTGATCCTGTTGTCCCGGACAACCAAAAATCATGCAGGAAAACCAACATCTTCCAGGCACAGGACAACCAGTATTTTCATGTTGCACCACTGGCGGTCGCAATTTTTGAATATTTTTCTTGGTCACATGACTGGTTAATTTAATTTTCACCATCCTCTGCAATCCTAAGTAAGAAATGCCTGTGCAAAAGGCAGTTGTATAGAACCCCTCCCACAAAGTTAATAGTATTAACATTCAGGACAACCACATTTTGTTGAGGACAACCACTTTCTTCCATCAGGTTGTCCTCTTGACAACCTGATTTTTTTCTCTTATTTCCAACGCTGGTGAGGTTATCTAGCTTTTCCTGGGCGCAGCCTACTCTGCGTTTATCACTTACAGTCATTAGCAAGGAATAAACTGCATCTTCACTTACGCGATGTTGTTTGCGTTGGTTATTTATTCTCTTTAGGTGAAACGGAGCTGATGAAGATCCATCTTCTTGGTGCACACGTTTCTGCAGTCGACCAGCAGGAGTGGAGTGAGTCTACATGGGGCTGTTCCCTTGAGCCTGTCGCACAGGCTGTGGAACTTGCTGTGCCAACTTCCACACGTGGAAAGTGGCGCAGCAAGTTCCACAGCGTGTGCGGATGCAAAATCCCTCGCTTAACCGCCTGCTATTGGTCGGCTACATAGAGGCGGCTGAGAACATTTACACACACACCCTGCACACGGTGTTCAAACTTCCACACGTGGAAGAAAATATCAAACGTGTGATATTTTCCACACGACCCAGGTCGAGGGATTTTGCATCCGCACACGCTGTGGAACTTGCTGTGTTATATATTGCTGTGAGCTATATCGCTAACAGCAGCAGTAGCAGCAGCAGCAGCAGCCGCAGTAGCAGTAGCAGTAGCAGTAGCAGTAGCAGTAGCCGTAGCAGTAGCAGCAGTAGCAGTAGCAGTAGCAGTAGCAGTAGCCGTAGCAGTAGCCGTAGTCGTAGCAGTAGCAGTAGCAGTAGCAGTAGCAGTAGCAGTAGCAGTAGCAGTAGCAGTAGCAGTAGCAGTAGCAGTAGCAGTAGCAGCAGCACTCGTGATCGCAATTGAGTGATCATACTGCTTGCTTCACATCAAAGGCTCCAATCACAATTTTCCTTCCTATCCTACAGTTGCATCTCCGACTGCATTTCCGTTTTTGGCATTGAACAAATTACGGGACACTGACACTCCAATTTTTCCTTCCACTCATTTATTATACAAATTGACAGTCCCACGTTTCACCCATAGCCGATTAACTGTCACAATATTCAAATGAGCAACATTGAAGTGGTCCGTTATCGTCCTAGATGTCTGTTTACACATTTCCCTTTTCGCAGACAAGACTGATCTACATCTTGGAAAGCCGACTCTGCAGCGTAACTGTGATGGAAACATGATGGCTGTTATTCGAAGTCAGCTGGATAGCTCACTGCCTGTGTACGTTACAGAAGACCAGCCAGAATGGACCGGACCAACTGGACGCCTTGCATATCATAACGGTAGAAAATCGTGAATATATATAATAAAATTGATCTAGTTGGAAGAAACAGTTATCACAGTTTTGAGACGAAAATTACCAATTTCTTCGTGGATGTGTATGCTTCTTGCTTAGCTTGGTTTCATAATGGAAGTTGGGGAGTGCATGTGGGTTTCTTAATGCTTCTAACTCTAAGAAGCCATCATTAATGCCATCATCTAGTTGCATCACATCCATATATATATGTATATATACATATACATTATTCTATTTGTGTCACATTTCTACTTGTGTGACATTATCAGGCAAGGAGAACGTTAAGGGTAGCAATAAGTCGGCGACCCCTCGCTCGGAGAACAAGAGTGCAGCATCGCAAGACGGTCGTGGCACTGGCAGACAGCGGACCGTACAGTTTGCAGCCGAACAGACGCGTTTTGAATACGACGAGCCTACAGGTGCCGACAAACATGCTGGCAAGGGGTGGGCCATGAACTGGAATCTCGACGCAGCTGGCAGAAACAGGAACGAGGTTTACACTGGAGGCAGTAGTACACAGCTTACAGGCAAGGTAGAGAGATATTCCAGAGCGGGCAGAGAAGGTCGAGACACAGCCCATGAGCTAGGCAGAGGAGCGCTTAGCCAGAGCAGGAGTCACACAGATGTCCATGACAACTTGCCCACTAGTAACAGGTGAGAGAGGAACACATGACCAGTAGAATGTAGTTTATATTTTAACAGGTGTACTGAGAGAGAGAGAGAGAGAGAGAGAGAGAGAGAGAGAGAGAGAGATAGAGATAGAGATAAAGAGTGTGAGAGAGAGAGATAGAGAGAGAGAGAGAGAAGGATAGATTGAGAGCGAGAATCAATTGAACTTGTAATGGAAGCTGAGATTAACAGCCTGTTAAGGAAAGGGGAAGGGAGAGTAAAGTGGAAAAGAAAGTGATAGATGTATATAGCTATTAACTACACAGAATAAAGCTGTTATAAGCAAGCAAGTTGGGAAAATCCTAATCATGAGGTAACGACTGCCATTGTGTTTTTGAAGTATATCTATAATCAATAGGGAGATCCCGCATGCATCGTTTGCCCCGTTGCATTAGTATGAAACAAATCCTTGGTGTGCTCACTCCATTGTGTAAGACAACCCTTATTATTATTAAATCTTCATTGCATGTAATTCAGATACAAATACATGTACTGACGACAGTTTTTTTCATGGAGAAAAAATCTGATAAAAGCAATAGTGTTGAGTAGATAAAATGATGAAATTTCTGACTGATATAGTACAATACGATGCTATACAGCATGAAGAAAAAATATATACAAAAAAAACTTGAGCATATTTTCTACTAGTAGTGATTAAGGTAAGTGTTGAGTAGTTAAAAAGATGTTTTCCTGAGTGATACAGTACTATGGTGGCCTAGGACTGCCATAAGGAAAATTAAAAAAATAAAAATTAAATGAAAATGGAAAAAAACAAAAAAACAATGAAATGAAAAAAAAAAATTTAAATGTTTTTCACAGTGGCCTATCGCTGCCATAGACTGGTACTCGCTCCCACCTCGATACCCATCGAGTAACTAAGCCGAGAGGTGGGACCGGGTACCAGTCTATCGCTGCCATAGCCCACAATGCACTTCGTTACCATCAGACCACAATGCAGGGGTTGTCTATATTCAGGCCGGTACAGGAGATAATTTGCATATTTTGTCACGTGGTCTGTGTTAACCAATCGGATGTAATCGCGTATTCGTGACGTCACATCCAGCTGTATCGCAAAGCGATCTCACATGCAGAAGTGTGAAGCATGGTGAGGTGGTGGAGAAGGAGGAGGAGAGAAGCTGGTGGAGAAGGAGGAGGTGGAGAAGCTGGTGGAGAATGAAGAAGGGGAGAAGGGAGAAAGTGGTGGAGAAGGAGGAGGGGGAGAAGCTGGTGGAGAATGAAGAAGGGGAGAAGGGAGAAAGTGGTGGAGAAGGAGGAGGGGAGAAGCTGGTGGAGAATCCTCGATTTTTTTTCTCCAAATTTCGGAAAATTCCATCAAACTATATCGGGTGTACCAGCAAGATAGAGCGATGACTGTTACGCTGTGGCGGAGGTTTGCTATCTTCGATTGCTCTTGTTATAGGGAAGTTCCAAAGAGGAGTGACGAGCTGGTGCGGACGCGGGACGTGGGAAGCAGCGATGCGGAGGATGTTATCGTAGAGGATGACGCAGCTGATTATATCGGCAACGCATCTGAGCAGCAACACAAGCGCGTGTCCTCAAAGGACAGGTAGAATTTCATTCCCGCTGATTACACAGGGTAGTCTGTGGTAGCCGACACTTGTGATGTTGTATCAGGGTTTCTTATACATAGGAGGCACAGTGGCGCACCCCGGTGTCAAATTTAACATCGCCGTTGTGAAAATGTTCCTGTATTTACTGATAAGTATATCCTGTATCTATATACCTATAAGTATATCAATACATCCTGTATTTGAATCCATCATGCGCGCTTTTTCCCCAAACTGGCCATTACCTCCTTTGTCAAATTTTTCCTCAGAAGAAACCCTGTGTATGTTTGCTTATCACGTTCCATGCGAAACACGAGTCAGCTCGTTTGAACAATCAGAAAATTCCAGCACATGGCGATAGATTCATTGTTAATAAGGCAGCATTGAACATGTTAAGAACCATGTTGCATGTGAGTCTGTACTGTTTGAGCGTTCAAGCATGTTCATTTGTGTGGACTTGTAGGGGGCAGCACAAGGGCAAGCAGTCTAATGCCAATCCTGGTTCCCATCATGGCCAAACATCTATAAATGCCAAGAGTCGGAAAAGTCGCTGGAAGGAGGATGATTTTCCGATGCTGAAGACTTTCAAAAGGTAGGAGTTAGTTATAAATTATCAGATAAATAGATGAAAACATTCGTTATGTGCAAAAATAGACGAATTCTGCATGTAAACGTATTATCTTACCCTAATATTGAATGTGTTATTTCTCGTTAATTCTCGACATGTAACGTTTTACTTGTCTGGTGATCATGGTGGTGATATATAATGCGTGCATATGTTTTCCAGTGCTCTGCTGCCAGAAAAACAACGTGCCACTTCCTCCCAGCCAGCCACTGGAGCTGTGGACTGGAAGGGTGCTATACTAGCACAGAAGCAGCCACCAGGAGGAGCTAGCGACAGTGTCGTAGCCTCCAAGGTTGAGGAAGGCACACGGAAGGAGAAGAGAAAGACGGGCGCATCTAAACTGCAAAGGCGAGCGCACGTTCCTTCTGGTGATAATACACAGGACGGCTCCTCCAGGTAGGTTCTCCCATCTTGATCGCATTGAAGTAGAAGCACAGGAGGGTTGCGAGCCATTTAGAAGCTAGTGGCGTCTGCATCCATACCGTAATTCCTCCACACACTTCATTCCTTGTTATTTTCATTCACCTTTCTTTGTTCGTAATATGTCTTTAGTGTTGAGCAACAAGTCTAGGGCCCCTTAAGCACGGCGCACACATGGCGATTTTAATCGCCACGTGTGCTGGACCCGGCGACAATGCAACGATCTCTCGGCAACATACTATTGCATTGTTCAGATTGTTCATGATTGTTCAGCGACTCGGCAATAAATATCAAACATGTTTGATATTCTAGCGACGAGTTTCTGGCATCAAAATCGCCATTGCCATGCAGCGCACACGTGGCGATCTCTCGGCGATTCTGTCGCCGGCAACAAAATCGCCAGTACTAGCGATAAAAATTGCCACGTGTGCCGGGTTTTAATGAAGGTTTAATCATGGTACGACACTGCTTCTGTTGTTGTCACAGGGAGGCCAGCTGTGAGCCTGACAAAGGTGACACAGAACAGCGAATGTTTGTCATCTCACAGTGTGTCACCAGGGTGCTAAACACGATCCACGCCGACGATGCCGACCTGGTGACCTTCGAAAGGCTGCGGATGATCTCAGCTAGAGGTGCGCTGGCTTGACGGTGTCTGCGGGTTATAGCGGCTACCATGTGCAGGGTGCGAAATTAACGCGAGTCCGGAGTCAAATACTCCCTGATTTACTGTCGGACTCCCTGATTTGACATATGCAGGAGTCCGTGTGACTCCCTGAAAATTCTGCCATACTAACTAGCTTCGCGGAAATTTGGCAGACGTGCAACCGCATGAATCTTACAAATAAGCACATGCGTTATTAAAATATCTTTAATTTTGAACCCCAGACTGCGGACTCCCTCATTTTACTACGGACTCTCTCTTTTTGAGGGTAGGGAGTCCATTGGACTCCCGTGTTCAAAAGTTTATTTCTACCCCTGCATGTGTCCTGCTGTGGTTAGCAGAGGGGTTTCTGTTTACGACTCCATCTCCTGTGTGCAGCAACATAGCTCAGCTAATAGGCCAGGGGCCCATTGTCAAAAACAAAATTAGTCTTAACATTAGTCTTAACATTAACAATTTCTCCTAGACCGTCGACATCACTTTGTTTCGTATTGTTAATATGGTATGAGGAAATCTGCTACGATTTTTTATTCTCGTAACTTCGCAGCGTTTCTGTCAACGGTCTAAAAGAAAAAGTTAATGTTAAGACTAATGTTAAGACTAATTTTGTTTCTGACAACGGGCCCCTGATTCATTGCCACATGGAACAACCTGCCTTAGCATTATGACCATTTGGCTCTGTTAGAGCTTCTCTAACTAATACACACAACCGAATACTACTAGCCTTGAAATTACTTTTAGATGTGTGTACTGGTCAGCTGGTCAACAGCGCATATTAACAGGTGTTAACAATGTGAGTTAAACTGGTCCTGTGCATGCTTTCACATGTATTGTGTTGGTCAGATTGGTTTTTCATTTTACTTTCGTGGCAGCTGCTGGTGTACCAGTAACTCGGCTGGAGTGGGTAAGAGTTTGCGTGGAAGAAATCCTAAGAAAATGCCTGGTGATGGGGTTTCCAGAAGCGAACCAGGTCTTCAGTCTTCTCCAGAATTTCCGAGGTAGCTACAATGTATAGTATAACTGCGATATATTGCTACGCTGCTGCAATAACTAGATAGTCCATTTTCTTATCAGCACATTGCTGACGTCTCTTACTACCAGGTTAGTCGAGCGAGCATCAATTTGAACGATTGTAGATGTAACAATGTGCATTGGAATATTGTCTAACATCTTCATTTTAAATTCTTGCTGAACTTTGTGTTTCAGATGAGGATGACCTTTCTGAAATTGTAATGAAGTTACTAGTCAAGTATCAGAGCGAATTAATATACACAAAGGTGGGAGTCATTTTATGTGCATGTTCACTCCATATTGCTTTTGATGATTATTCTATCAAATGAATGATGTGTAATGATGTGACATACCGTTTTTTGATAACTCAAGAAAGAAAGAATTTATGGCGGGAAATTTAATCTGCATTACTTTTAAATAAAACTAACTAGGCTAGAAGGTACATGAGAGATGGAAGATTTCTAGAACCATCTTCTAGTTTTCTTTCAGGTCAATTTTGACTACATATAAACACTGTACTAATGTACTTACACATCACATATTAGCATATAGTAGCAGTGCAGTGACACTATCAAGTGAGAAATAGTGTAATACATAAAAAATACCCATCACGGTTTAACGGGTATCTATGGTTACGCAGCATTGCTTCGCAGCATAACAAATGTTCTTCTGTTTTTCAGTCGTCGTCGACTCCAAGGTCTCAGCGGCTCCAGCGGAATTACTGCGAGTTGATTGGCCGAGTCTTCCTCACTGCTCAGGATTGGCCCAACACAGGGTTCGTACGGCTCCAGAAATACTTCGGGATTAAATTTTTTGGATTTTTTTTAACAAACGACTTTTATTACAAATTCATTACTAATATTACCATTAAATTAAATACTCGTATCATTTTGTCCTTTGTTTCATCTGCTTATCGACCATTTATCCCAAGGCCTGTTGCCAGAAACAAAATTAGTCTTAACATTAGTCTTAACATTAACTTTGACTCCTAGGCCGTTAACAGGAACATCTTAAAGTTATGAGAACGAAAATCCTCGCAAATTTCCCTAACATTACGAGACCCTAGACCCACTCGTAACATTAAATTTGACACCAAAAAACAAAATCGCGATGATAATTAGACACAGACGAGCACAAACAAATGTGATATACGCGAAAGAACCAAACTTAATTCGAAAGGATATACAAGCATACATGGGAAATCTTACCGAGGCGATGTGTCGCGAACGCTTTCGTGTTACGCGGAACACGATCTACTTGATCAGTGAAATGTTCGCAGAAAGATTAAAACGGGTGACTAGTCGACACTGCCTTGGCCCCGATTTTGCAGGTGAGGTCCGTTTGTTTAAAATTTCAGTTTTGTACAGGGATTTCAGTACACTCACGAATATTTCCGCGCAGTTAATTCACTGTTACAATGTAAATATTGGTACAACGATATACCGATGCGATGCAATAGTGCTATTCCCTCTGGGTTGTTATTTCTATCGCTTATTTGTTTTTCTTTTTTATACTTGGTTACTCTAATTAGTTATTTAAGTTATTTATATAACTTAATCATCTTATTATATCGCATTAGTAGTGTGTAATACTAATAGTACCTGCATCGTTCAAACTTATATATAACTAAACATTGTGCCTGTATTAGACCTTTGCCTCATACTGGAATTGGACATAGCATAGCTGTCTATCACTCTATGGCTAGGCTATAGGGCTGCTAGACGGCCAAATATCAGGGGCTCTTTTGCAGTTACATACTACAAAATATCATGACTTCTATGAGTAGAGTAATTCTTAAAGGAAAGTCCTACAAACACGATGTTAAAAAATCGCAGCTAAAAGTTTACTTCGCTTTACTTGGGTAACTGTATTTTAGAGCGTTCACTTACAACAAAAAATACGTACATTCTGTTCATATAGCAGAGAACAATACGTGCATAGTGTATATTTCATTGATGTGGTTTCAGGTATGTATTACACTAAGATTTTTGTCATCGGGGGTGTTTTACAACGTAATTGGTGAAGCGATGGTAGTTCAAAGATTTACAGTTTGTAGAGTAGTCAGTGAAGTGTTCAAGTGCATCGTAGATGTTTCCAACCAGTGGATAGCATTGCCGACATCTCAATCCTGAATATAACATGCGTATTTTCTTTCAGTGACCTTTCTTGCCCTTTTGCGAGAAGGCAACATCCGTTTTTAGGGACAGTGATTTTCCGTTTAAAAAAATTGCCTTTTCTGTTTGGGAAAATTCCGTTTCAAAGTAAAGAAAAAATGGAAATTCTGTTTTGCCATAGAGATTGTACACACCAAAAATGCAAAATTCCGTTTACGTATATTTGCATGAAAAAAAGAAGGTATTTGGTATACTGAAACACAGGGCTACCAAAAGTCATAATTGTAAGTCATTTCGCTCTGAAACTTGTCTGAATGTAAACCATATCATTATGAATGCTATTGTTAACGGTTTTTGTGTGTGATTTTATTGAAATTTCCATGTTGTAATATGTTCAAATTACGTTTTCCGCATTTTTCCGTTTGAAAACATCTTTTCTGTTTCCAATGGACGTTTACATGTTTTCCGTCCATTTAACGCGATTGCGGAAAATCACTGTCCTTACGTTTTGACGGAGACAACTGGCTGTTATTCTGTGTGTCTTCCAATGATAGGGGTTCGATAATTGCAATGCCATCAACGTTGGCTGTACTTGGTCCTAGGACATTTAGTGTTGAGACTGTAAAATTTAGACAAATAGGTTAAAATACATTTAATAATCAATTTTAGCATTACAAGATATATGTAATTCTTAATTACTCCATTGATAGTCTCTAGTGGTACGTAGGCTTCCACGACTTGTCTTTCGACTTCTGTAAAACTGATGAGTGATGGTTGTCTTTGCTCCTGTTAAATCAGAGAAAGATGTGTACGTGATTATAGAAAACATTCATGAAAGTAAAGTCTGTGAACGCAGTACAATGTTAGTACTAGTAGATGCACTTGTACATATACTTACATGATCCAATACTTTCGATTCTACCGACACTCTTTCAACTGGCTGTTCCATCTTCAAAGTTCTTATATTCAAAATTTATAAGTAATAAATTATTTAAAGTTATTTTAGTTACTAAGTATTAGATTATTTTAGTGTAATATGAATATATGTATGTAATATTTTAGTGTAGGTTATTTTAGTGTAATGTGTAATTGACTGCGTTTGATGAGACTGATGTATGTGTTCGGATGGTCGATATGCCGTGAAAACAAATCGTCTGCACACCCGAAATGCAGTGCGGGTTTTTGAACAAGTAGTAAGTTCCAGCAAATTGTGAGCTTTCTCAGAGCTGCCACGCCTTTCGGTCACCGCTAGTCTCCTAACATTACATTATTTGTAAGTGCTATCTCAGCATTAACTTTACGATGTTGCTGACAACGGCCTCCTGGTCTTATCTTTATAGGGTCCCGAAAACCATCATAAGCTTCATGATTGAGAAGTGGATCAACTTTAACAGATGGGCTCAGGTATGTTTAGATTAGTCAGGTATTGTAGAGCGGTGGCTGTCCTAAACTATTTTCTACTTAGGTTTTTTCTGTTATCATATTTCTCTATTGCATGCGTTAGTACCATGCTAGGAGTGTGTACCATATAATATATGACTTCAAAGTATATCTACTATAAGTGTCACCGGACCATTTCTTTTCAGCAACATTCTATTTTAAATTCTTTGTCTTATTTCCCCCCCCCCCCAGCTAAATGCCCATAAGACGTTCTTCTTCTTATCCTTTTGTTTCCCCAATGGGACACAAGGCCATCATAAGCATTGGTGAAATATAATAACTGTGCTCCATGACGGATGTTTTTTTTAGAAGTTGAGCTTCTATGATCACCTACTCATCTTGGATCTTGGTGTGAATGTCGTCATCAATATGTGTGCAAAAAAGCAGGTGGCGTATGCTACAGAGTAATGTTTTATGGTTTAATCCTTGTGTTTGCAATGGCAGAAGAATCAGATGGGACAGATGGGAAAGCGTATGTTGTATGCCGACTGCCTGCACTCCGTCCTGTCTCACATCGGACTCACGATGGAGCGCTGTTACGCAGCCGAAACTCAATTCATGTTTGACACCATACGGGAGATTGTCCTATCTGAGGAAGTGCTGAAGTGAGTTACTCACGTTACCCTGTTAGATTGCAAGCATTGAGTGGCACAAGAAACGAACCCCACTGCCCTAAATTCACAATTATAGCAGAATAATTACGAGTACTTTAATACAGGCTGTATTACTCCATTCTTGTATTTATGGAAATGTGATTCTGGGTGATGGTATTATTTTACTGGGTTCTTACTAAAGAGATGAACCTGATGCATGTTGACGTGTGTGTATATGTGCGTGCGTGCGTGCGATTGTGTGTGTGTGTGTGCGTGCGTGCGTGCGTGCGTGCGTGCGTTTGTACTGGTGTGTTTTCTGTCGCTTACTGGATTTGTTATGCACCAGCTAAATGTTTACAGGTGTCAGTTAGGGATGTGACAAAGTTACGACAGTAGGGATATTACCTATACAATGTAGTCACGTGTATATTTCTCGTGTTTGTAATCATTTTTATCACGACTTTAGTGAAATTATGCCATTCTATCCTCCCGAATGGGATCAAATTAAACTTCTGTTTCTATGCATAAATGGTGTGATTTCAATGCAATGCAAATAAGGAGTGTGATTCATGGATGCTAAGGTTGTGACACTTGCCGTATAGCAGTGTCAGTCGTTCGGACTTTGGTTGCAATGCGTTCCACATTGGCGTCTGATTTCATTGTACGTCTAGGTCTATCAAGAACAAACTGCTTGACGTGATGTTGTTGCGAGCGTCTAACTGGGCGGGCGTCGACAGTGGCGTGCAGGCCGCATGCGTGCCTACCATGCCGGACAAGCAGCATCACGCTGGCCCGGCCAACGCACTTATGGCGTCTCCAGCAGTCGAAGCGTACCATGGTGGCATGGAGAATGGTCAGGCTGTCGCAGGACAGTCGTCTACGAAGGATGCTTACGCATCCGTGAGGCGCATGCTCGAGCAACTGGGCTTGCAGCATCTCCTGCCTGTGTTTCTAGAGAATGGCATACGGGTACGTACTACGAATCCATTCCTGTGTGGGTACTTACGCGAGACACTTCCTTGCGCACATTTTTACCGCTTTTTGAGCGCATAGAAGGTTCAAGTAGTGTATTATGTGAGCTGCTCCCCTGTCTCACGCATGCACGCACATGTACATTCAGTTGCTCCAGGATTGTAAGGGCCAAATTTCAGGTAAAGCTAAGTGTATGACTATAGAGGGCGACTCACGCTTATTGGGGTAGTCACGCATGCAATCACGTGACTGGTAGTGCTTCATACAGATATGCCAAGTGGCCTTGCTTACATGGCTGACGAATAAAATCGACTTTGAGGAATTACTGAGGCACGGCGATAACGAGAGCCTAAGCGCTACAGGGATATTCTTCACATGTTTTTTTTCGTACTCAGGACACTCTGTTAACAGCTGAGCAGAAGTACTTCACTGATTTACTCAAGGACTGTGGTGTGCCAATAGGAGCTGTGTTGGAGATAGTACGCTACCTTGAAAACAGCGGTGAGTGTACGATAATCATGTTGCCAGGAGTGAATAATAATAGATATAGATCTATGACACAACTCCTGATGTTGTGCTAAAGGTCAATTAGAATCGCTCAGGCCACAATTAAAAAAATATTTGTTTGCCCTCACCCGACCCAGGCTGAAAAGTTTGGGTAGGTAGGTCAGCTTTTTTTAGGGCGTTTTTTTTTACAAATTCAGCATGGTGTCTACATGCTCGGGTGTGCTTGTGTGGAGATACGTTTTATGTTGAATGTTTGTTTTGCTTGGTACATATAATGTATTGCCTACAGATTTATATAATGTACAGTGATCAATAAATATTTTTGAGTCGGCCCCTTTTTGGCAGGTTGGTCGGGTGAGGGCAAACAAACCATATTTTTATTATGGCCTCAGCTACACGACTGAATCTATACTAATCTCATTACCCACCTAACAATCCCAGCGTGATAATTTGTACCGATCCAGACAGATATCCGGCTATAAAGTCTGTAACTATGTAACATAATGAATCCATGTAGCATCGCTAGAGCGATCTCCGATTATCAACAGTGTACGGGTGCATGCTGTAAGCTTTACAGGTAAACAATAGTTTGAGCCAATTATAGGCTACTGCTACATGTATCTGCTGCACCATCTCAGCAGTATTTTGCAATTACAGGGTCGCTGCGTAGTCGTAGTGAGGAGCGTGAGCGTGCAGGCTGGCTTCCCGTCGGTTGGACGACCCCTGACCCGACCCCGCCATCCCCCGAGCCCGTGCGAGCGCGGCCGGCGATACAGCGCGGTACGACAAGCAAGGTGAAGCTTGTGGCGTTCGGAAGATCGTCCAGCCAGGAGGACGACGCGGCGCAGACGCCTGCTGCCGACGCAGCGGCGACCGGCGACGCCGCGAGGCCCCCGTTCAACTACAGCACCGCTGTGAAGAACAGTAAGGCGGGCGAGAGAGTCAGAGGCGCGCGGGGATGGTACGCGCCGAGCGACCGCGACAAGTGGGCGTCCGCCGAGATTGGTGCGGTGATCTCCCTGGAGAGTAGAGACGCATCGTCGGCTGCGCGCCCGGCGACGGCTTTCGTCGGTAGGGGCCCCGACGGCGAGAAGTCCGATCCCACTAGGAGGCGCCGCACGCCCGTGATGGACCGTCTCTTCGCGCACGTGACGCCCGAATGCAGCCGCGCCGGTGGCGCCCCCTGCCTGTCGAGTCCGCAGCTGTTTGACGGCAGCGGCGACAGCAGCGAGTATCTGCAGCCGCCGTCAGCTTTCTTCGATCCGGCGGCGCAGCGCGACGTCGCAGACAACGCCAACAGCAACCCGCGCAACAGCTTCAGCGAGCTCGTCGACTTCAGAAACGTGCCGCCGCCATCGCTGCCGGCGCCGACCGTGCGGCGGGACGCCGCGCGGGCCGACGACCACGACACACCATCGCCCGACGACCTCTACACCGCCGGCGACGACGACGACGATGTCGAGAGGGTAACACCGGTGCCGCCGCCGCTGGTTGTCGACTCGGAGACGGACTGGTTCAGTCCGACGGCGTCGCCGCGCAGTGGCAGGCGGCTGACGAGCGATAACGATGAGGGGATAGGGAGCAGGCAGCTGTCGCAGCTGTGCCCGACGAACTGGTTCAGTCCGTGCGGCTCGCCCGCGTCCTCCGACACGCCACTGCCGCGCGACGACAACGATGATGTAATACGATACGAGGAGACGGATGCAGCAGCAGCAGCAGCGGCCAGCGAGAGTCTAGCGGTGACGAGCGGCAGGGAGCAGCAACGAGAGGATACCGGTGGCGCTTCACAGTTCCAGGATCGCGCTGGCTCGCACGAAGGAGGAGAGCGAGCCGGGGACTCGGTCGCCGTGGCGACGCTATCCCTCAAGAGCATCGCCACGCAGCTGAAGGAGGGAAAGTTTGCTGCGGCCGAGGAGGAGGAGGAGGGCATAGCCGAGGAGGAACCCCTCGCGGGGAGAGAAGACGTGGACGGCACCTCCCTCCCGGCGGAGGGGAATCCCTTGGAGGAGGAGGACACCTGGGAGACCCTGGCTGTGGAGGAGCCGCCTTGTCCCGTTGCCGCGGCGACCGAAAGCGTTCCGATCGATTACGTGGAAGGCGATGTTTTCGATTCCGACTCCGACTCGGAGGTTGAGGCGCCGCGCGCGCCCTGGCAGCCGTCGTCGCGTGGCAAGCCGACCAATGAGGAGCTGAAAGAGATGTTCAGCGCAGAGCAGCGAGTCTGTACGTCATGCGGCAGCAAGAAACACATCGTGTATCAGTGCACGGAGCGACACCTCATGTATAAGTAGTCACGTCGTAGGAGACGGCCACACTAGTACTAGTACACCAGTACACATGTACTACACTAGTACACACTAGTACACATGTGCTACACTAGTACACATGTACTACACTAGTAGACTAGTACACATGTACTACACTAATACACATTAGTACACATGTACTACACGAGTACACTAGTACACGTACTACACTAGTACACACTAGTACACATGTCAATATAACCCGATTTCTCTGATGCACAATTATTGATGGCTTTACGCTAGAGATTAGTATGAATGTTGTTCAGATGCCGTGATAATTAATTTTGCAGTCAGCCCCTAATCTTATCTGGTAGAAGCAATCATTCTTCCAGTGTGTGGTATATATTTTACTATGGTAAAGTTCCGCATAATGGTTGTTCAGTTGCATGCACGATCTTGAGCAAAACAGAATTGACCTATCTGCCTGGTGAAATTGAAAGTATTATGTAACAACAATTGTGAGACAGCTGCACCCAATCAGTAGTGATAAAAGGTTGCGTTGTAACGAAATGTTGCAAAGTCGACAGTTAGGCACATGCGTGTGAAAAAATAGTATAAAGTCTAGACTGTCCGGCCGGCCAACAATATTTAATGGTTCGTCGTTATTTCTCACGGAGGGATAGATCAGTTGAGTGCCGGCTGTTGAGAGGATACTGACAAATCATCATCTAAAAAATCATCAACAATCAAATCAATCGATCAACAACCAATCAATCGATCAATTATCATCATCGGTCGTCTAGAAACAACGAGGTTTAATCTGCCCCTGCTTCCCCTGGAATAATGTGTTTCAATGATTCGCAGTCTGATTTAGTGCTGCGGGCATTCTGTTGTGATCAACAGGCACTAGCAGTAGAAATGATCCTATACTTACGGTGCATTTGTGATTGCAGTGTCACGACGAAATTCGCATGCTAGTATTTCATTGCCGCTTCTAGTACATTAACTGTTAGGTGGTGGATCGATGCTGTTAGAAAGGTTATCTCGCTCATCTACTGCGGAGTTGCTTTCAACGTCGCTTCAAGTTGATTTTGTTCTGTCTCTCTTGCTCGTCGTGTATTCGTTACCGGAGGCTTCGTGGCACGTCGTCGTTGTTTGTGGGGTTTGTAGAGGTACGCGGTGTCAATGCGTGCGTAACCGTGTGTGTGGCTGTCGTACATGTAGACATGACATGCCTTACCGCTCATATGACATACATACCTGCTTGAACCGTACTCGAGGGTGGCCGAGGGGAACGCAATGTAATTAGAGATGAATCGTAGTACTCGGTTCGTACTCAAATCAGACTTGATTGTATTACGGCTGTAATGCGTGTAATGTAATGCATATATGCATGCTTATCATATATGTATACCACTGTACTGTATACATGCTACAACCGTGCGCTGTGGTGGTCAATGTGATACGTAAACTTCATGTAGTCGGGGACGAATCCTACTTGTTATGCGGTTTATTATGCGGGGCGTATACCTCCTCATAATACTCGTTAATATCGTTATACTCGTATAATACTCACATACTCGTATACCCCCTCCCTCCACACACACACACTCCCCGCCCGTCTGGTCGTGTTTGCTGACGTCATAGATTCGATGTTCGATCAAACGTGAGATAATTGCACGCGGCGACACGGTGGGATTAGAAAAGGAAAGAATCGACGTGAGCATTTCGGTAATATTACCACCCCATGTGGGTGAGCTCGGGTCCGCGTGGATAGCCCGTGTGCTGGGCTGTGTTTTAGGACTACTACACTGTTCTGTTTACTGTTCACATGATTTCTCGGCAGAGACGCGATGTCAAGTATTATATATATCAGGCGGTGTACAAAGTGCGCACATGTGCTGTTGTGCACGTACATTGATGACGTACGTGATTACGTTAGCTGTCGCTGCCTTGCGATGCTGAGTTAGGTATGTACAGCCTGTTCTGCTAGCATCTATGACAAATACGACATACGTATATACGCTCTCCTATGATACTATTTGTCATAGGAAGATTCTTCCTATGACAAATATTGTTATATGTGTTGTGCGCATCATAGGAGTTTAGGAGCGCGATTCTGAACGCAAGCAGTGAATTTGAGCTGTAAAGCGGAACGAAGTTGACTCGCCAATATTTGTCATAGGAAGAATTATCCTATGACAACTAGTGTCATAGAAGAGCGTATAATTATGCTTATGTCGTATTTGTCATAGATGCTAGCAGAACATGTTGGTATGTAATAGCAAGAGTTCATAATAGAAATGGACTTTTTCTATGATGGTCTCTTGGCAATCTGCAGGCAGTGTGCGAAATTTCGAGTGGCTGTGAGTCGGACGTCGGACCGTCATTACAGATAGGCATTTTTGCTTGTGCGTGCGTGCGTGCCTACCTGCCCGCCTGCGTCATTTTCTAATTAGTAACCAGTTTGGATATACATATAAACTTATTCAAGAAAAAAGATGATCTTATATGGATGTATAGATGAATAAATCAATAATAAAATATATATAGGCCTATATGTGTGCGTGCGTGCGCGCGTGTGTGTATAGAAACAATACTGTTGCGGTGTATAGCTGCAGTTTTGTTACCTGTCGTCATATTTAGCAGCCGCACGGGGTGTCATATTAGTGTATCATTGCGAATTCCTTTGTACCTTGCATTTTTGTTACAACGGTTAAATATAATTAAGGTATTCTTATAATGTTTTGTTTTTGTATATATAATGTGTTTAATTTATAACCACTGTTTAATTTTCGCGTAGACATTGTACCTTTCGTGGAACTCCTCCCCATCTTCTCCCCACATCGCTTCAAGTGTGCTCAGCTTAATTAAATAAATAAATTAATTAATTAATTAAATGGTGACAAACGACGAAACAGTCTAATCATAGATAGGTGTGTAGCGACAAATAGAAATGCTAGTTTAGTAACAGATAACAATTGCTCGACGCAGATTTTTCTTTCTTATATTTGACGTTGCACTGACTCGGCACAAACATCGCAACGCGTAGCTCTTTCGAATGATGGCAGCAAAACAGCTTTTAAGATGAATAAATGGCAATTGCCTGCGAAGAGAGGCGAGTTTCGATAAATGTTTTCGCGGCACGCTCTGATTCGTCGATCGGTAAATATTTTGGCGCGTGTCACGTGCTCGTTTGACGTGTTCTACGGCATGTGTTCGTAAGTCGAGATGGTGAGAACAGTAACGGTGCAGTAAGTCGCCACACACGTGTCATCATCAGCATGAGTGCAACGACCGCTGAAGAGAGTCTGTACGCACAGCGCATACTCATTTACTAGCCAGCCGCCACCGCGTGTACGCATCAGCTTGCCTTGCTGCGAAACGTCCACACACACGAGCGGGTTACCGTGACGATCCCGTGACGTCACGGGAGCAGCGGATGTCCGCCGGTATGGCAAGCCATTCCCTTCAAAACTGAAATCAGGAATGAAAACAACACAAGTATGAATAGAAACAATACTTTGTAAAATTGAAACGATACTTCAATAAATAGAAAACACACAATTGCTGCGTTCACACGAGGAGAAAAGTTGCGTTCACACGCTAAAATATACGCGGCTTGCTTAGCCACGGCTTGCTTAGCCGCGAATGCTCCGGCTTGCTAAGCGCGGAATCATATTCCGCGCCAACTAAACCGCGTAGATACGGCACCATGCTGGCCGCGTATTGATTGTCGTGTGAACGCATTGTTCGTGTTGTTCGCGCATTGTGAACGCATTGTTCGTGTGAATTGCGAAACTGTAGCGCTCTAACCTAGACTGCTACCCGTTCGCCCTGCCACGACGTTAGGCGTAGCGTGTGGAACTGTCGACCGCGTACCAGTCTATATTATACCGAGCTAGCTAAGCCTCAATCTCGTGTATCTCGTGTGAACGCCATTTTAACGGCACTTAGCACCAACTAAGTACGGTACAGCTAAGCCGTGTATACGTGGAACGCAGCTTTATCGTCAAATGGAAAAGTTTTTGTAAATGAAAACAACACAAGTACGAAAGAAACAATACTTTGTAAAATTGAAATAACTAATTGTACAATAGAAAACCTGCACATTAATTGCGACTATGCACAACACTGAATGAAATGCACGCTTTTGTAAATGAAAACAACACAAGTACGAATAGAAACAATACTTTGTAAAATTGAAATAACTAATGTGTACAATAGAAAACCTGCCTTTGCGACTATGCACAACTCTGATTGAATGCACAGTTATGTGAATGAAAAACACGAACGCGAATAAACAGAACGCGCTTGCGTAGCAACGACCTGACACTAGGGCCAGATTATTCATTGCTCTCAGCACGGCGGGCTGGCGGTAAGCGGGGTGTAGGCATGCCGTGCCGGCTTAAGTGCGATTCATCAAACCAATTAGCCTAATATATCATATATATATATATATATATATATATATATATATATATACAGTAAAAACCGCCATATAAGAACATAGATTTTAAGAACATGTTAGGCTAAAATTTCCCATTTAGACCCCTTTACATAAGAACCTGTTTTTAGCTAAGATTTTAAAGTAGGTTCTTAATTTTCCATGTTTTTTGTTCCATATTTTTTCTCCTCCATTTTTTGGCATGTTGTTTTATTTTCCTTGGATACATACTGTATCATACAGTATGGTAAGCACTGAAAAACTTACACTGTAGCCCATCATGGGTATTAATTATGCAAAAATTGCAGTCTTTGTAAGAAAATTTTAACACAATTTGAATCAAGTATAAGCTTATACATATTAAAAGTAGAAACAATTAAGAACCTTTTGAGCCTTAATTTTTCAGTAAGCACCATTTAATATAAGAACCTATTGAGGCTAACTTGGAAAAATCTATGTTCTTAATACGCGCGGTTTTTACTGATATATAATATATATATATAATTATAGGGCCTATATATATGGCGTGTCACAGAATAAAAACACATAACACAAGTCCGAATAGAAAAAAACGAAAGGTTTCCAGATTTCGCCGCTT